TTTTGTATGGTTTCATATCGTTCAGCTTCTTTTGCTTATCAAAATTTCAAATTTCATTGAGATTGGCTAATATCCGGGCGAGTTATCATTATTATTATGATTTTTTCTTAATTTATGATAACCACTGTATATTGCGTTATCAACATTTTTATGACCATGTAATTTTGTTTTAAACCACCGATATAACAACAAATAAAAAATTAACTTAAGTCACGTAAAAAGCCACAATTATGAGATCAAACTTTTAATTGAAAAATAAAGTAAAATACGTTATGCAAGTATTTAAATAAATAAAAGAATCCTAAACACAAATCCTATTACACATAAGGGAAAAAAGAAGGCTATGCATATATTCTAGTTATAAAAAAATTTAATTCCCACAAAACCCAGACAAATTGTCAAATAAGACGTAATAAATTATAGTTTAAAAAAACTGAAAATCGCTTTTATAGTTATTCGAACTAAAAAGTAAAAAATAATTCTTAAAAAAAGAATAAAAGGATTAACGAGAAAATTAATGTCATTGTGGTAAAAGCGTGGGGTGGTCGATATCAATTATTATAATTTCTTAGTAGTTCTATTCCGAAGTAAACAGTTAGTTAAGGTATCCGACTACGTTCGGAATCATGATTTTAAAAAAGCGCATAAATGTATAATTTTCATGATATTTAGTGTCACTTAGATTAGAAAACATGTATAAAATTGTTTTAAAGACATTATGACAAAAAAAATTATTTAAGTAGAATATTTTGGCAAAACATTAGCTTAGAATAACCTTTTTTCCAAATGTTCTCCTTTTGTAAAAAATGCTTCTATTGCATTAATATTTTGCCTGTATTCAGCTCAGACCTCTGTATAGAAGCTCAACTATGAGTTTTGAAAAATTCAAATTATTTTCAGAGTTACAACCATTTGAAATAATTATCGGCGTATTTTCTTAAAATTTCTCCCTTCTATTTTCGTGAAACATGGATAAACCGACTTCCAAGTTATGCATTTCAAAAATTCTAGTTGAGCCTCTGTACAGAGGTCTGAGATATATACAGGCAAAATATTAATACAATAGAAGCATTTTTTACAAAAGGAGAACATTTAGAAAAAAGGTTATTCTAAGTTAATTTTTTGCCAAAATATTGTATTTAAATAATTTTTTTTGTCATAATGCCCTTAAAACAATTTTATACATGTATTCTAATCTAAGTAACACTAAATATCATAAATATTATCCATTTATACGCTTTTGCAAAATCACGGTTCCGAACGTAGTCGGATACCTTAAAAATGTAGTACAAAGCACTCCAGGCTTTTACCACAATTACATTAATGTTCACGAAAATCATTTTATTCTTATATTAAGAATTATTTTTTATTTTTTAGTTAGATTTACTATAAAAGCGTGTTTTTCAGTTTTTTTAAACTATAATTTATTTTTCCTTTTCTAGTTCGATCTACAATAAAAGCGTTTTTGTTTTAAATTTTTTTAAACTGTCATTTATTAATGGATGAATAAATCTTAACGTGTCATTTTTTAGAATCTGGAATGCCATTGGCATCTTATCATTGCGTCGATACGGCCCGATTCGTAAAATGTAGGATCAGCCAATTGAAGGAAATCTAGAAGAGCTACATTTGAAATATTTAATGCTAAAGAAGGAGTAAAGTCAATGATATTTTTCACTAAAAAGAGCTCAATATTCTCTCTGAAACTTGCATCAGCATTAGACATAAGAGTACACGTTTTGAATCCAAGTGTTTGTGAGAAATTATTGAATCAATTCTCAGCTGTTTTGGTAAAATAAAGCAATGAATGATGTTTCATTTCAAAGATCTGACAAGAGAATTTAGAAAAAAAGATTTTATGTCTGAGTTTAGCAGTTAGAACACAATTTTTTTTTACATGTTCGTGTTTTTTTTTTTTTTTTTTTTTTATTTTCAGAAAAACTGGGCAATTGTTTATGTTATGGAAAGAAACTGCTGACGCGCCCTCTCCTTTCTCACATAAAGAAAACTTTTTTTTGTTGTATTTGTATTAATTATGAGCGTTATCGCTTTAAGGCTGTAACTTAATCTCTTAGTCGCCAAATCTTGAAATCTTTAATCCTGATGATCCTGATCAGGACAATGGAACAAAATTATGAAATTATTGTATTGTCATCAGTTCTTGACAAGTGTGCAAAATTTCGGATTAAGCTGACCTTTTGAAGTGGGTGAAAATAGAGTTCAAAAATTCCGTTACATACAAGTGAAGCTTATAAAAGCATGTTAAAAAGAGGTTTAAATCCTGTTAATTATTGAAAATAGTATCAAATTTAAGTGATGTAGAATTTCTCAAGATAATTTTTCAAATCAATGAGCAACAAAAAAGATAATGATGTGCTGAACAGTTCAGGGTATGAAAATATGCTTTCATTAGAAGACAATTAATATCAAATTATTCTTTTAAATCTTTTAAAAAATATTAGAATATAAAAATGTCTATTAAACAGTCATGAGTTTAAAAGAATATCTTAAGAAATCACTTCTAGTTAAGTCGGACAAAATTTTTTTAAAAATTAATAATATTCTCAAAAACCTGTTTTGGCTATTTTTTTCCAATGACATAAGAAAAATTATCATAAATCTAAATCTAGAAAAACATGGTTGTGTTTTAAAAGACATATTAAGCTATGCACTATAAAGAATAATCAAAGTACAAAGACAATATTGTTCCCGCGATTTGCGGATTTGTACACCAAGCACATCCTAGTTACCCTGTATTGGACATGCCCTAGATGTCTTCCTGATGCCCAATATGATATCTTGTCTATCTATCAATATAAAACATTAATTCAAAATCATTTTAAACTTCATGATCATTAGTATTAAATATTTAAAAATTTCTATTTTCAAAATTCAAAATAATAACCTAAGTTTTAAATGATAATAAATTAAGAATTTATAAGAGAAGAAAACACAAAGAAAATAATTCGGAAGAAAAATATCATTGTTCCAAATTATGTTCGAATTTTAATGTGTTTCTATTTCTTGCAGCGTATAAGTTAATTGATAAGAAAAATTACTCATAAATATTCAAAATACTTATTACTTTTTAAATGTAACATTATTGTAAATTATTTATTACTTTAATGTTTGTAATAGGGAAATTTTATTGTCTGTGCACTTACACTTGTTCCAAATAAGAAGCATGCATTATTAATTTATTACACTAATCCTTCGTCATAATTGGTAATTAAAATAGTGTGATCTTCAGCGTGATTTTTTTTTTTTTTTTTTTGCTACAATACGTGTACGTGCTCATAAACATGAAATAACAAATGCAAAGGCCAAAACAGGTTCACGAGAATGTCTCACAGGTGCCAGAAAATACCAAACGTTAATTGAAAACTGGAAGGCTATTCATCATATCTCGTCGACAAAACAAGGCTGTTGAATAAAAAAGACATTATGTTTCAAAACAGTGAAATTCTACAAACATCATCTTATTGTTGTAAATCAAATGTTATTTCGAAACATCTCTGGTCCTTTGGAAAAATCAACCGTAATAATTCAGTGAATGACATTAGAAGAACAGTAGCACATCAAGTACATCCCGAATAGGCTTAGTGATTAATTCTTTATTACTGTAGTGTTGTTCTTTTCTTATTTTAAAAGTAATGAGGTTTCACTTTTGACCTCGCTACATTTGAAGCCATTTATTAAAAATTCGGTTTCAAAAAGAAAATCTTAGGAAAATCACAAGCACTTTCCAAGGTAATTTCTGTTTAAATTGATTTGTAAACTAACATTCTAGAGATATGGTTTTTTAAAACTTTTTTTTAAAAAAATACTTGTCTATTGATATTAGGTTATACAAATTATTTTTTTTATACAAATGAATTTTATTATTAAAATTCTCAGCAATGACACATATACAATATATCGTTATCCACGGCGGAAAAAAAAAAAGAGAGTACGCTTCAGTTTTTATCTAACGTAATTAGTTAAACATAACAAAAAACCTTTGATGCTTCTAACTAGTTTCTTCAATGAATCAAATGTATCAATACAAATAAGGATGCATAATTATATTTTTATTCAAGGGTATATACAAACTTCCTTCAATTTAAAATTGAAATTAAAACAGTTAAGCATAAAATTAATATATTTCTTAAGTTGAGAAACTATTTTTTACTTACTAAGTAATAGTTTTATATTATAAAAAATTTTAAATTAGACAATCTATTAAAATAAAAAATAGATGAATTATATATTGTTTTTGTTTTAAATATTTTCTGTACGACAATATTTTAAATTTGGGTGTAATTACTGTAATTAAAGTAAAAGATTTTTAAATATAAAAAAATATGCATTTGATGAGACACGAGAATAAAAGTGTTTTAAAAATTTGTCGTTTAGAAATAACTGCACTGTGTGTGTATGTGTGTGTGTGTGCGTGTGTGTTAATAACTTATAAACATATTGTTCTGTAGTTTTTTGACAAAATTATATTAAAACTAAACTACTTGCGGAAAAAGCAACTAAATGCAGTTTTGTCAATTGAAGCAAGATTCAGAATTTAGTTGTGAAGAGCAATTGAATTCTGAAATAAAACTAAATATATTGATGTATTTTTATTTAAAAAAAACCATATTATTGATTGAAGATTCAGGCAGGATTTTTCATGTAATTATTATTTAACAAATTTATTTACAATTCTAAACTTGAAAATAAAAACAAGTAAAATAAAAAAAAAATTTAATCGATTCCTACTAAGGTCAACAAAGAAAAATTTTATTTTAGTTAATTTTATTAAATAGCTACAATTAATATAGAGATGTATATACATATGACAGAATCACAAAATCAAGTGACAAAATATAAAGCAATTTTCCATTTTCCTTTCTATATAGGGTGTTGGACTATTTTTTTTTAGTTTGTTACTATTTATTCATTAATCAAATTTAATTAATCTAATAAAATAGTACACAGTAAAAAAGAAAACACATTCTCAGAAATTAGGCCCTTCCAGATTGGATTCGAACCCATGACCTTTAGATTCGATGTTCAATGCGCTATCCATTGCGCTACAGGGACACAATGAACATTTTTCCTTTCTATATATGCTGTTGGACTATTATTTTTGTTACTATTTATTCATATTTTAATTTAATGAATGTATTAATATATGAAAAAACTGTGTTAACATCGAGTGTCATCCACTACAAGTTTAAAAAAATGTATTTGTACTTGAATGGATGAATAGAAAGTATTTTATTAGCAATTGAAAATTTGAACAAAATATATGTCGCAGGAAAATGACGAAATTAGGTATTTCATGAAATCTCTAAGGGAGATGATCAATTCACGCAAGGTGTTAAAATAACGTCTCTTCAAAGTCGTTTCCATGATGAAAGTAAGTGATTTTATCAAACCCTGAATTGTTTTAGTGAAATGATGAAATGAACTAGTCAGGATTTGCATTTGCAAAATGCTGTCCGGGGGGGGGGGGGACACCTGGTGGTCGAGTCCTTGCACTTCCTAACTATACAGATAGTACTATCGATCCCCTAAATATCAACCCCATATCTTTAAAAAATGGCTGACTTGTTCATTTCATCATTTCACTAAAACAGTTTGGGGATTTGATCAAATCACTTACTTACATAAGGGAAATGACCTCAAAGAGATGTTATTTTAACATCTTGCGTGAATTGATCATCTCCCTGTGGGATTCGATGAAAGTCCTAATTTCATCACTTTCCTGCGACATATATACATATATATAGGAAGAGAGTGAACTAATAGTAGGAATTGAAAAATGACTCTCAACTAAATGTAACTTCTTAAAAATAAGATGTAGATTGCAAATAAATGTTAATAGCAGGATTTTGAATACCTAATATCTAAATCAAACTCATCGGCATCAATTATAAACAAAGAGTAATACGAGTACTATCTCCTTTCCATACATAAACTCAACATTTGATAACGCTTCTTTAGTCTCTTTTTTCTACTTTACTTTTTAAAAGAGATATTATGAAGAAACACCAGAAAGTAGAGTTCATTTCAGGTCTTACACATTCGCATAAGCTGAATTATAGGAAATGAACACGGTTTTACAGGAAGAAATGAAATTAATAGAACAAAATAAAATTGTACTAAATAAGAGCAAAACTTACATATTAAGGAAATAGGTTGTTAAATTATTTGTTTTACTTGGATTTTTTCAGTCCATTGCCACAGCATGTGCAAAATAATGCAAAAAACTAAATTTTTATTACCACTTTTCTTTTTTTTATAATGTATATTGTAGAAAATATAACCATCAAATTTTAATGTATATATATATTTTTTAATCCATTTTAAACATCTCAAATGTAGTTAATAAATATTAAAACTGTTTTCATTTAATTTTAGAAAATATGGCCCAAAAATTTATATAGAAAAATGTTCCAAAATAAAAATTATGCTTCCACTTTCCTCACAAATAGAAATCCTCTCATTTTAAAGTACACCTAATTTTTATACATGATTCTCTGATTTTTCTTTAAGAGGAGTCGGAAACCTCTATACCGACAATGTTAAAATGGCTGTTTTCGATGTACCATTTCTCAAAATCTGTTATATGTACATGTTTGAAATTTTTCATACAATTAAAGTACACCTTTCTCATTATACTTAAATGAGCTTTTAGCTAATTTTGAATTTTTTAATAATTTATAAAATATTTTATCAAACCTAGTGAAATTTGACCCATTTTTCACTTAAAAAAAATTTCTAAGAAATAAATTTTCGAGTTTCTTACAAAAAGCTCATTTCAGTATATATTAGCCATCATTATAAATTAGTCAAAAGAAACTTACATACCTGTGAACATTATTTTCCCATAAAAGGTACATCGAACATCAAAAATTTACATTTTGAGATAAAGGAACACTTTAATGTATAATTATACTTCTTTATTAAAACATTCCTCCCCATACTCCAAATGATGTACATTTTTTTGAATATCATCATCCTCTCTCTTTCTTTTATGTTTTTTTTCCCCAACTTCCTTTGTGTTTTGTTAACATAAATATTTAGCCTTTAACAGCCTCTATTTGGCGAGAGGCGCTCCATTGTCTGTACCGTGTAATCACCAAGCTCAATATTAATTTTTTTTTAATTTCTGGTTTTGATACATTTCCCATATTAAATAATGAAATTGCATCCTATGTACCCAATGATAATACTTCTATTTGAACAAATATTTTCTTCAGTGCACGAGACCATATTACGTTGCTTACACTTTCATTGGGATTTTGTATACATCCATGTTCACACCTTTTTAGCAAGTCTGGATTAAATGTTTTGATTTCCATCATTCATTCATTTTTTAAGCAAAAAAAAAAAAATACTTTGTTTACATGTTTCGCTATTTAAATGGGCGTGGCCCAGTTTCAATGAGTATTTAAAAATAGATTTTTAAGCCTTCTAATTACCGTAGAAGTTAAAGTAAGGTATTTTTAGGAAAGTCAAAATCTATACAATTTGAAAATGTAAAAATCTCAAAATTGCCATTTTAAGAAGATTTTAGGTTTCCAACACCTCTTAAATCACTTGGGTACATGTGTTGTGAACAATATTTGCAGTATAACGCATGCACCGCCGTGTTTTAAAGGTTAAATACTAAGCTAAACTCAGTGGCGCAACAGCCCAAATCGGCCAAGGTCTACTGTGCCCCTCTCAGAATACTTGACCTTGGGCGCTGAGGTTCATGAGCAGATGTTCCGATCAGGCGATCAGTCTGACCCTAAGCCCCCAGTATTTACCCGCAAACCTGGTACGCATTTATCGACCCACTGAAAGGATGAAAAGCTGAATCGACATTGCCCAGCCCGGGCTCTAAACCCTGAAATAGGGCGTTGAAACGCGAGAAGCTACCACTCATCCACTGGACTTCACTTACTGTCTTCGGTTAATGTTAAAGAACAGAGCCCGAATTCAGAATATTTTTTCAGATATAAAATTGCTCCAACATTAATGTTATATTCTGGCTTCACTGTCCTATAGAGAATCACTTATTTTATGGTATTACTCATTTTTATCCGAGTTGACATATTTTTTCTGTTATAAAACGTGTTTCTCATTTTTTTTCACCTATACCGTAATGCTAAATGAGCTATATCGTTGCATGCTAAAAGGAAAAATTAATCATTTGTGGAATATTTTGAAATTTCAAAAACATTACATTATAAACAAATGTGTGAGTTAGAATGATACAAATTTTCATGAAAATACAAGCAATGTACCGAAAATGTGCTCCGCGTTTAGTTCAAGCTCTGCGACATAGCCTTCCTGTGATGACTATGTCTATTAGGATCCGCGTAAGCTAGAAGTGTGGGATTATCTAAATGATGAGACATATTGGATTCTTAATACAACTTTTATTAAGAATAACTTATATTACTTAATTCTAATTGACAACTTTCTTAAAGTGAGAGTTAACACCCAATTAAACCTTATATTCAAGTCAGATCGCGCAACTAGATCATTTATCTTAATTATAATAAATTAACTGATTCATCTAACTTCCTATAC